GAGCACTACTCTGTGAGATGAGAGGAGCACTACTCTGTGAGATGAGATACTATGCTTCAACTTATACAAGACCAGCAGGGGACAGAACTCACCTAACATACACAAAATCCTAAGTTTGATCCTCAGCACCACAGATAAAATAAAAACTAATGAAAACAAAAGAGTCCTTGGATTTGGGCTGGGATTGAAGTTCTGTGGTAGAGGGGCTTAACTAGCATGTATCGGGCCTAGGTTCAAGGTATGGGATGAAAAAAAAATCAGTCAGAGGGCAAAGTGTGTTCTAGAAGCGAGAAGACTTTTTTCTTTGAGCCATAATGCTGACTAGCACTAAGTAGACACTGAAAGTGAAGGGAAGCTGCGCTGAAGCAGAAAGGAGCTAAAACAACTAAGAGAGTGAGAACAGATTCACTTTCTCTAATTAAGTAGGGTCTAATGAAACAGGAAAGTGGTGGTGAGCCTTAATATTTATGTTATGCCTCACACATTTATGAAGTGTGTTCACAAAATTTAATTCAGTGTATGTAGCAGGCCTGTGAGATAGGAGGGGCCATCTAACCCCAGGAGACTGGAAAGGAGGTGACAGGCTAGAGCATCTGATAACACCCAAAGCCCAAGACCAGAACAGCCGAAGGCTGGGAGCAGGGCAGAGCCCAGTGCCAGCTGCTACACAGCCATCCACTACTTGGGGAGAGACAGTTCTCCCGTGAAAAGCAGTGAGGGCTAACTGTGGGCTTTAATCTTTTCTTCGTAAAAGTAGCGGGGGCTACCCCAAAAACTGTTGCCTGTACTTGGGCTATCTTCTAGCTGGGCTCCCTTGTCTGGCCTCAGTGGGAAAGGAAGTGCCTAGACTCACAGACACTTGAAGTGCCTGTCTGGGGTGGGGTGGGGGTACCCATCTGCTCAGAGGAGAAGGGGATGGAGGGGCGGGGGGGGGCGGGGGGCGAGGGGGAGAAAGGATTGGGGCAGGGAGTGACCAGAAAAGGGGCAGTGAGCAGGCTGTAAAATGAATAAGTAAAAAATTAAATTAAATTAAATTAAATTAAATTAAATTAAATTAAATTGAAAACACAGAATCAAAGAGTGTATGTAGTAACAGAAGCCAGGGACTTGAGGAGGGTGTGTGTGTGTGTGTGTGTGTGTGTATGTGTATGTGTATGTGTGTGTGTTTGTGTAAAACTCTTTCTTTTCTTAGAAAGACTAAGTTTATCTACCATTTTATGTATCATCTTTTTTTTTCCATTTTGTATTATGTGTGTCTTATGAAGGACAATGAGAGAACATGACAGTGCCTGGCCTGTCTGCACTGTCCTTTAGTCTATTAGCAAAACAACACCGCAATAAACAAGCCAGCTAAGACTGCTAAGATCCATACCATGTATCATGAAGGAGTAAAGCAGAAGGCAGCTTTCGCATGAATGATTCTTGGTGTGATGTGGAGAGAGGATAAGGAGAGGGGACCTCCTCTGGGACAGGCACAGACACCTTAGGTACTTATAAGAGGCAGAGGAATTACGATCAAGAATACTTCATTCATGAAGTTACTGAGACAGGAGCATTAAAAATCTTCATGTATGGTAGTGGAATTGTCCTATGAATGTTTAATTTAGTCAGTTTTTGTCACACAGACACTCTGTGTGCGTGTGTGCGAGAGAGAGAGAGAGAGAGAGAGAAAGAGAGAGAGAGAGAGAGAGAGAGAGAGAGAGAGAGAGAGAGAGAATGTGTATGCCTATTTGGGTACTTTCAGAGGTCAGAGGAATGTGTCATTCATTCCTCAGATATCAGACGACATCCAACTTTTTCTTGAGACAAGGTCTCTCTGTGACCTAGAATTCATCAAGGAGCCTCAGCTGAGAAACCAGCAAGCCCCAGGGGATCCATCCACCTGTCTGTGACTCCCTCTCAGTGGGACTGCAAGGTTATCAGCACCACATTTGTCTTCTATACAAGTCTTTGTGCTTGCAACATCTGTGCTTCACCAGCTGGGCTCTCCCTCAGACTCTGTCACATATGTTTCACAGTTTTGTTGTTAGGTACACATCTTTCTACTGTGATTTATCATTTCTTTTTTTGTTTGTTTGTTTACTATCTATCTATCTATCTATCTATTTATTTATTTATTTATTGTTAGGGAAAGAACTAGAATGAAAAAGTTATCCAGTAGTCCAGGCTAGCCTTGAATCTTGAACTCCAGTCCCCACGCTTGACTTTTCTTTTTTTTTCTTTACCTCTGGGGTGTGTGTGTGTGTGTGTGTGTGTGTGTGTGTGTGTGTGTGTGTGTGTCTGGGACAGGATCTTGCTAAAGGGCTTTGAACTCACCATGAAGATCAGAATGGCCACAAACTCATGAGTGACCTTTCTGTTTCCCCCTCCAAGGGCTGAGACTTCAGATGTTGTCATCCACACCTAATTCATATTGTTCCTGCAAGGTGTTCCTGTAGATATTTGTCTGGGTATTTGGAATCTTTCTTTCATCAGTTTAAAAATATAAGACTGTGTCTTCTGGATTGTACTCTTTCTTATGAGAAGTCACCAAAGTTCAACTCTCTCTCTCTCTCTCTCTCTCTCTCTCTCTCTCTCTCTCTCTCTCCCTCTCTCCCTCTGTGTGTGTGTGTGTGTGTGTGTGTACATGTGTGAGTGCATGTGCACATGTGCATGTGTCCCTTGAGCTAGGGACTGAACCTAGGGCCTTATGTATGCTAATAAAGTGTTCTTACACAGAGACATATCCCTAGTGAGATTACTTACTTTTAATCATTAGATTTTTCCTGATTTTAGTGGTGTATTAATCACGGCTCTCTACAGAGGCAGAATCAATGAATGGGAAGTCCAAGAATTCAGAAGTTGCTTATGCTACTAGGCTGATGTCTCAGTGGTCTTTGGTAGCTACCAGAATCCCAAAGAAGTAGTCTCTAATGCCTTTGAAGGAATGGACCTAGAAAGACAGGAGCAAACAGGCAACGAGCAAAAGCTTCCTTTTTCCATGTCCTCACGATCTGGATGAAAGGCATTTATGTGTCTTCCCACCTCAGAGATCTAGACAAGAAGTGGATCTAACCACTTCAAATCAAGCAAAAAATATTCCACTGGTGTGCCCTTCATTTTTGGATTGTAGTTCCTTCCAGATACAGTCAAGTTGGCAACCAAGAATAGCCATCACAAATACAATAAGCCTAAATAGTCTCTCATTTGTTACCCAGACAGGGTTTCTCTGTGTAGCCCTGGCTGTCTTCGAAATTTTTCTGTAGAACAGTTGCTGCCAACTCAAGAAATGTGCCTGTCTTGGTCTCCCAAGTACTAGGAGTAAAGGCGTGTGTCACTACACCCACTCAAATATTATTTTATTAAGAACAAGAAACTTCTGAGGATCAGCTCAAAAGTGTGGTAGAAATATTTCCACATACAGTGTTCTTTGTGAGAGAAAGACTGGCATGCTCATCTGCCATATGCAGCTGCCAGAGAGACACGAAATGTAATGTTTAGTCTCAATTTCATGTTTAGGATTTATAAGTGTTTTATACTGTACATAGAGTGTAAGGAAGAAAGTCATGTATTGAAGGTCACATAGGTAATCCCAGCAGGCAAGAGGATCAATCAGTCAAAGTTTGAGGGCAGCTTGACCTCATGGTAAGACCAAATAATCAGGAAGAAAAGAAAGAAGAAAGGGAAGGAGGAAGATAGAAGGGGAGAGAGGGAAAGAAAGGGAAAGAGAGGAGTCCACGCTCTTCTCTGGGGCGGGAGTCCCTCAAATCTTCCCAGAATTCACTCAGACAATAGCAAACAGGCTACACAAGTTCAAGCTCTTTTCTGCTGTCACTTAAGACTGCAACTTGTGCCTGCCATGTGCTTTTTTGTACACATTTGTTTTAAGTTGCTTGCCCTGTGGTGGGCTGGAATATACTATAAATCAGAATTTCAACACAGAATGAATCTTCTTCCACGTTCACAATGTGTCGTCCCGTTCCCCCACCCCCACCCCTCCACCCCACCCCCACGCTATTATTAGCAACACTGACAGCATTCTCTGGTTATGAGAAGCCAGGTGATGATAAGCCAGTGATTAAACCCTAGTCTTGAGGACCATTCTTTTACCTGGACACTTGTTTGCCAGGTAAGAGAATGGCTCCCTGAAACTCTCCCTGAATTTCTTCAATCTGCTTATCATGAGCTACTTTAACTCTCACGTTTGTCAAAATCTCTAGATTTAGTTTCGAGTGCTCATCTGTTTACCATTTGAGACAGAATCTTGCTGTGTCATCCAGGCTAGGTTCAAACTCCCAGCAATTCTCCTGCCTTGGTTTCCCATTCTCTGGGAAACAAGACATGAACTTCTGTGCATTAAGCTAGATTATTTTGAAGGGAAAATTTAAGAGCCATGGTCAAAATTGAGGATAATTGTTCCTGAGGAGACAAGTTAATGCACTGTTATTTTTCAGAATT